ATGCCTTCTCTTTTATGTGTTTATGTGTGTGTCTGTATATGTGTGTTCACATGTATGTGTGTATGCTTGTGAGAGTATACACACGCATGTGAACATATATGCATGTGGGAGCCTGTGCATGTCACATGTCTTCCTCAGCTGCTCTCCATTTTACATACTGAGGCAGAGCCTCTCAATACAAATAAACTCATCTCTTGGGCTAGTCTGGCTCACCAGCCTGCTCTGTGGCTCTGCGTCTCTGCCTCCCGCTGCTGGGGTTACAAATGGACCACCAAGTCCACCTGGCTTTCACGTGGATTCCGGGGTTCCCGATTGCACAGCAAGCACTTTGCACACTGGGTCATCTGCCCAACCCAAAACCTTTTTACAATTTTAAATTTATTATTTATTTATTGTTGGGGTGGTATGTGTGCCCTGGCACACTGGTAGAGGTCAAAGGACAACTGGCAAGAGTTGGCTATTTTCTTCCATCATGTGAACCCTTGGAGATAGACTCAGGTCTTCAGTCTGGGTGGCGAGTGCTTTTACCCACCCCCTGGGCCGTTTTCCCTGCCCTAAAATTTCTCTGCTTCTTGCTTATCCTGAAACTCTGTTCTGTCCTAACATCAGGAATCCAGCTTTACTGGGGTTGAAGTCTCTGAAAAGAATGCTACTGACAAGTCTCACCATCCAGCCACACTCCTATGAAAGAGCAGGAAACTGAGGTCAGGTCAGCACGTGGATGTGTCCAGAGCTGGGGCAAAGGGTGAGGCTGCAAGGGATCACCTGGTAGATGTGTGCCTGGGGTGTGAAGGCCTGAGGGTGATCGCTGTGAAGGCTCTCACAGGCTCATGTCTCCGAATGTTTGGTTCCCAGTTGGTGGAACTGTTTGGGAAGGATTAGGAGGTGTGGCCTCCTTGGAGGAGGTGTGTCACTGGAGTTGGGCTTTAAGGTTTCAAAAGTCCCTACCCGCCAGCACAGTCTCCCTCTCTGCCCCCTGCTTATGGATCAGATGTAAGCTCTGAGCTGCTGCCCCGGCACCATGCCAGCCTGCCTGCACCATGCCTGCCTGCCTGCGCCATGCTCCCCCCCAGGATGGTCATGGACTCGCCCTGTGAAACTGGAAACAGCCTTCAGATTGCCTTGGTCATGGTGTCTCCTCACAGCAATGGAACAGTAGCTAAGACAATCCCCATCGCTGAATAAACTGGGCATGATGGCAGACACCCATCATCCCAGTACTCTAGAGGGGAGGCAGGAGGAACAGGCAGCTCCACATCACTTTTCCCGATGACATAGCAAGTTTTGAGGCCAGCCTGTGAGACCCTATCTTAAGAAAACAAAAACCAATAAAAAAGGGCTCACTGACTAGGGTGCAATTAGGCAAGACAGAAAGTCTCCCACTTAACATGAATGATAGGGGCAAGAAAACTCCAGTACAAATGCCACTGTATGCCCAAGTCATTGATCCAACCTGCCCATCCCTTCAGATGAATGCGGCTGCCACTCCCCACCCCTGGTGGGAAGAAAAACACTGCTCTGTATGATTGCCACTTCCCTGGAATAGCCAGCAAGGGCAGACATTGATGCCTAAAGTCAGATTAGTAAGTGCAGCCTGGGCTCAACACCTGCAGAGAAAATGCACGGTGCGATCCACCCCGTGGGTACCATTATGCAGGCTGATGCTGACTCACAACGCCCTTTGAAGTCCTTTGGCCCTGTATCAGTGAGCACTAAGAAACAAGCCCTACCTGCCAATTTCCATCACCCCCAAAGTACTTCAAAAAGTCGGGGCAAGGCAGGAAGTTCAAAAGAACGTGCCCACAACCGCACCACCTGTAATCCAGGAAATTACAGGCACTGCCTCATCACTCAGGACAGACAGGGCAGGTGCCCTGCACCCCCTTCTGAACTTCCAGTTCTCCAGGCAGGCCTTGTTCCTCAGAGCTATTGCTCCAGAAATTTTCCAGCACTTAAAAAGAAATCCAGGATTTAGCACCTGTTTGTTTCAGAAATACTTGCTAAAAACAGATCTGCCAAAAGGCCACCTCTAAAATTAGTCACATTTCCTGCTCCACAAAACATACTAAAGGGTAATTTTTAGTAACTTCTTCACTCCAGGTATCTGGTACCGTTGTGTTCTGTGCGTGATGACTTGCAACTTACTAAGCAGGCAGTCCTTGTTTTTAGCCCCAAAATAGCTCTAATGAAATGTATAAATGGGCTTTTTAGATTAAAAATCAAAGGTTAGAATACAGTTATCTGAGATAGTTTAGTGTGTCCTTGGCCTCTTAATCACAGGTGAGGTAAAGGCAGCGCCACTCTTTGCCCTGCTGAGTAAGTTTGCCTACTAAGCCAGCTGCGCCCGGGATGCTCTTTTTCTTTGCCCCATCAAGTTTCTTTGCTTTGTTCTTCAGTATTTTTAACTTTATGACGTTCGCTGGGGGGGAGGGGCATACACCAAAGTGCGCCTGTGGAAGAAGTCTGAGGGTCAGAGGACAACTTTAAGGAGTTGTTTTTCTTCTTCCACCACAGGGGTACCAGGGAGCCATTGCAGCTATGTTCTATCCATGTTTTAAAATGTGACAGTAACTTCCCCTGGGCCTAACACAGGTATTCCTTACCTGTCAAGAGCCACTGTGAGGCGACAAGCCCAGCCTCCCCCAGTCTGTCCGAGTTGCTAGCCTATACTCCTGCCCAGCAACCTTATTCTCTGTGCCAAAGCCACAGTGAGTGATGCTTTTCAGAATCTAACAGATGACTCCTGGTCCAAGCATCACTGCAGCCATGACTGAGAAGATAATAATTAGGAGTCTCACATGACCAAGTGAATATTTATGTTTATAAAGCCACATGGACCAGGCCTGTCTTCAGTGAACGCTAAAGGATAGCAAAATTAGGTCTCAGCCCTAAGCCACCCTTTGTATTCAGCTGTAAAGGGGCCATCTAGAGTCAGATTACTCCCAGACAACTTTACAGAGGCCACTGAGGTAAAAACACTGCCCTGCCCTGCAGGCAGCAGTGGCAAAAGGAGCCTCTTGATGAGCTAAGGCTGAGCCCAAACTGAAAGTGGGGAAAAGGGAACTTGTTTGTCATCTGGACTAAGCCAGGAATGCCCGGCAGACCCTGGAGGATTTTATCCAAAGCATGCTGGAAATGTGTACCTTATCAAAAACACACACTCACCACCACCCACACTCCTTCAAATGCCTTCAGCTAGCAAGAGTCTAGATTTGGCCACACATCAACCAAAACAAAACACATGCCTTGATAAGAGATGCTCTGACACAGACGGGATTTGAGATGGTGTGCCCTCATCTACCCTCCATCACCTGGTCCGTGCACCCATTTCTCAGGACAAGCTACCTCTGTAGCCTTCTACACGTAGGTCTCACGGCAGTAGTCATCACTGCATTTTGAAAAAGAAAACCTATACTCACTAAAAATGAAACAGTGAAAGGCTTTAGCTAACAGTATGTATCCCAAGAAAGGTGTAATGGGGCGGGCAGGCTAAGGGCAGGCTTCCACCTTCATCTGCTTCCCTTCTGGACCTGCTGTTTAGTTTGCAGATAGCTTGAGGTTGCCTTCACTTTTCCTTTAGTTTTGCTTAATAAGGCAAAACCCAAAACAAAGGAGAGCTGGGGACTCATTAACTCACTAATATTTCTCTCTCTCCCTCTCCTCCTACCCCCTCTTTCTCAACTCTATAATCTACTAAAGCCCACATCTACTAGCTGAGCACTAAAGGTGTAGGGTTAGGGAGATAAAAGCTATGAATGACACCACTGTTTCTTTAAAGTTCACAACTGAAAGGACTAAACCCAGGGTCCCTCCTGGTGCTCTGTTGTCCCCTGGAGCTGGGGTTCTTCTGGCTAGAGAAAAGCACAGCAGGAAAGACCAAGGTTTGCAATACAAGCCTTCCTCCCTGGCCTCTGCCAATCCATCCAGGATTGGACCAGAGTTTCTAACCAGACCAGATCAATTGGGCCAGGGAAATAATTTTACATCTAACAAGCATCTCCTCATTGCAAACATGAATTGAGCCATCACAAAGACAGGAGGAATGGGACTCTTCTTCTGGACCCCACGGGGCAGAAATTCTTTCTATTCCAAGGGCTCCTCATTGGGCAGGAGTAGCAAAGGAGACCGGGAGGGAAGCCCTGGGGGTTGGTGGGCAGGGGAAGAGGGCTCAACTTTGAAGGCATCCCCAGGAAGTCCAGGCAAGGCCAAAAGTGTTATGCCATGGGGCAAAACCGCACCAGTGAAGTGCTGAGGTCCAGCCCAACATGGCCAGAGCCTCTAAGGAACTGGGAGCAACAGGACAGGAGAAAGGGAGACACTGTGGGGCTAGCAGGAAGATCTCACCTCTTTAAGGAGGTGATGCCCATGGCCAGGCTGAATCCTATAGGTTAGGAAACACCCAGCAACCCAGCACCCTGAATGGACCTCTTGGTGTATGAGGCAGGCAGCCCACCGCACACCAAAGAGTGAATAAACTTTTGCTTACTCCCATTAGGATGACTGCGCCGGGTCTGAAGAGTTTGTTCTCTGAAGAGATAAAGTGAGTGCATACTGAACTCTTGCTTTCTGCTTGGAAATTCCGCCAAGAGGCACTTTTGAAAATGACTCGGTTTAGCCCTGCTTGCCCAGTGTAAAGGGGCACCCCGCTTGGGACAGCTACAGAAAAAGAGGACCATTTCTAAGAATGATGGCGCCCAGTGCTCAGACGTAGGGGTCTCCAGGACAACAGAGACCAGAAGGGAAACAAAGTATCAGGAGGCCAACAAAATCAAGAGCAGCAGCTTGGCCCTGTCACCAGAGTTCTTAGAATTTATCACTGACACAAACTACTACACTGGGCGGGAGACTTGGAGCAGCAGGCACAGTGCCTGTGCGTGTGGGGCCCCCCCGGCCCCCCCCCCCCCCCCCCCCCCCCCCGTAGCCTGGGGGAAGTGTTGGAGTACTGTGTCCACGTGAGGATACTAGCTCTGCAGCCCCGAGCAATTCCCTGTTTGGGGCCACCCAGCCTCAAAAGTAAGTCAGCCTCTTAGGTTTCTTCTCACAAATCTAAGTTACACCTGAGATCTGCCCACACCGGGCCTGGCAAGAGTTCACACCCTCTGACTTCTAATTAGGTCGAAGTAGTGTCACTCCAGGCCTGGGGGAGGGGCTCCTTTCCTTTACCCCCCTCTAGAAAGATAAAAAAAGGTATCTCCAAATCTCTGAAGTCCGAGGCCTAGCTGTGTAGTCCTGCACCTGCCAAAAGCAGGGTCTTTACTGCAACTCGACAGCTGCCCCAGCCCACGCGGGTGAAGAGGGTGGCTTCCAGGGCCTCAACTCTCCTCCATGTCCTCACCAGAGCCCAGGAGGGATGAAACTGTAAGCAATCCCAGAAGCTGGTTACCCTGCTCTCCCGCCTCACATTCCTGAAGCAAGGCTGACCCCCCCACACACCCCCACACACACACCGGTCTAGGTCTAGTTCCATCTCCCCAGAGGTCAGAGACAGCAGGACCCCCACCACCACCACCCCGCCTCCGCCCCAAG